TTTTATTTTTTTATTATATATATATATATATATATATATTCTTTCTCTTCTTCTTTTTTGCCGTTTTGCAAACTGAGATTTAGTTCTTTTCAAAGTATTTTTTATAAATTGCATCATTCTTTTTCATTGCAGTGTCATATTTCCTTTCTGTGTATTATAATTTCTTTCGTGTCAATATGTAAAAATGATAATTTCATGGATTCCATTGTTGACTATACTTGTAGGTAATATTCATTATGAAATATCTCTCGATTTATTTGTTGTCTATGACAATTCTAACAAATATCCTCTTTGTTTAGCTTATAAGAAATGATTTTCTGAATTATTTCTTTTTTCTAAAGCATTGAAATATGATAAAATTGACTATATTCGTTAAAAACAACATATATTCTTCATTTCTTTTTTTATTTTGACACCTATATCGTTCATTTCTTAGAAAATGGAGTTCCGACAACTCACTTGAGAGTTTTGTTTACTTTACAAGGTTAATGTATATTATATTTGGTTTTTCAGTTATATTCTTTTTAATGAGACATACTTTAAAAGGTTATTGTAATTTCAAATTGGCTGATATAATTAAGTTTTTTAATCATTGAAATTAATAAATTTTTATTTATAAAGAAATTTCTTTATTTATACATACATTTATCCTGTACATCGTACGAGTCATCCCACGTAGAAATTATCCAACTGATAATGTCGCAAACGAAAATTTTGCGTTTATAAAGATAATTCATTTTATTTGAGTCACAATAGTTCAGCATGTTGAATTAACTCTTTTAACGGAATAGTATATATATAAATCATGACACCAGAAACTAATAATTTAACGAAAAGAAATGTTAAAAAAAACAAAAAAAAAAATGGAAATCAGAAAACACTCGGACCAATAAAAAAAGTTTGCTCAAGACTATTGACAAAATTATGAACTGAAATCATTCTCATATCTCAAAAACAGAACCAAAACTTTGATTAAAGAAAACCGGATGACTCTTGAATAAAATGTTAATATATAAATAAGGATATAGTAAAAATGATTATATCTTTTATATTTGAATTTTAGTTTAAAAAAAAAAAAAAAAAACTTGCAATTCAGTCTAATATTAGGAAAGGACTCTTGGACGACAATGATTTGTGAAAGAAATCTTGTCATTGTAAATGTACTAGGAAATAATGATGATCTTCTCTTTATGAAAATGAGAAACAATAAAAGGACCGCTCAGAGACTTGTCATTCAGTACTTATCCAAACCATTCAGTTCTGTCACTTTCCTCCTGTGAATGAAAGACGTCCTTACTGCTTACGCAGGGATGAAACTATACTATTGCCGACAACACCTTGATACTTCTATGGTACCGCAAAATTTGTATAATCAACTGCTGATACGAACCAATCGGCATACTCAATGATGTTTATTCGTACTTAGTTTCCAGAATTTTGAATTACCTCCTATATAAGACAGACTACAATGGGATAGGATGGACATATACAGACATCAAAATGACACCACAGACAGTGAATGAGTTTCAGACTAGCTGAGATACTGTAGTATCACTTTCTTCAATCTCATCAAATGTCACTGATTTTCCACAAACAAGCTTCCTGTAAATCAAATAACAAATTCGACGGACATTAATATAAACATTCATACATTAAGAATCAACTAGTTGGAAATAAAATAAAATAAAAAGCAGCCATTTCAAGAAGAAAAAAAATTCCTCAACAAAATGAAACAAATAATTGATGAAACACAGTGGACTGGTGACAACTAGACATGCCGAACAACTCGTTGTTGTTCAACAATTAGGAATAATGTTTTACCCATCAAATGTACTAAACTCGAGGGAAATTTCTACGGTCAACAAAAGTGAACCATTACTAACATTGTAATGTTTAAGGAAAGCATGACATACACCAACTAAAATAGTCACTTTAGTCATGGTTATCAGAATTTTTACAGCTAAAATAGCCAGTTTGATCATTTTTCACAGGTGAACAGATTACAATCAACTGTTAACTAGCGATACCTCTGAGATATAAAATTCTCCTCAGACAGTGCCTTATCCAGCCTCACTTCAAACGGAGTCGCGTGCCATTTTACTTTCTGGTCCTGGGAACAATGAGCACAAATCAGATGCAGTATATTAATTTAAAAACCTTGTAACGTAGCAAATAATGATTGCAAGGCATACCTCCTTGTACTTATTTGTTGAATTTGGGATGCCGTTGTCGCCCAACCACTTGAGAGAAATAGGGGAATGCTCTGCAATGACTGATTCAGGACTTAATCTAGACGACAAATTTGATTTCACCACAGCTTCATTTTCATTTGAAATTTTCTTTGACCCTTTTTCTGGAGCAGGAGTTCCATTTAGAGCATGCTCAGCCAAATCACTCAGGTCACTTGAATTTTCTTCAGGGTTAAAATCTTTCTCCTCAAGTATTTTGTACCGGAAGACATTCTCGCCTGGATTGCAAGTTGGATAGACAAACTGCGACCGAACTTGAGCCTTACCATTACGTAACTCTTCTATTGATGCAGGATACACAGTTCCTGGTGTTTGCATCTCATCAAATAACTTCAACGGGGTAGGATAAGGAGATTGTTTACATGCACTTTGGTTATTTGGTGACAAGCTTCTCTTCATATGCCAATCATCTGATGAGTTTCCATAGGATGCCAAGTCAGTATCACTTTCAAAACGAACAGACTTGTTCTTTCTCTGAGTATTTGTCTCTAGCAAAGGTGAAACTGAAGCTGCATTCCTTTCAGTCCTATCTGCGGTATGCAGGTTCCCTGCCCAACTATTTTCCATATAGTCAACAGAGTCATCTTGAGTGTCTTGTGCTGTGGAGATACAGCTGCAACAGAAATGAAATTAACATCTGATCAGGTTCTAGTCCTCCCTCCAATGTAATTTTCAATGGACAATGCTAAGTTCCAATCAACATTCCTACAATTATGTAATTATCTAAAATCCACATAGAAAAAGAAATGATGCAGAAACCATTTGAAGGGGCATCTTTTATAAAAGCAGAACAAGTTGTCTGATTCTTTATTCTTTATTATTTCAAAAAGCAGTTTCTCTTTTTCGGGAGTGAGAATGCACCTAAAGCTGACTATAAAAATTGAGAGTAAAAATGGAAGATTCACCTACCATGCAAATTGACTAAAATGTCACGTTCAAATTCATTATCATTCATTAAGCAAAAAAATCAATTCAAAGTCGTGAATAACCTGCTTGGTGTGTGCTCAAAAGAATCCATGTTATTTCCCCATTCTTGGCAAAGTTTTATGGGAGTTGGTGGATCAAATGGTTGGACATCCAGCTGCAATTTCTCCACAGACGTGTTAGGAAGCCAAGAGTGAAATCTTGAAGGGTCAGAATCTTTATCAGAAGAGGGTGATGCTTTCAATTTCTCAGATGCTTTGCGAATTTCACCAGGTGTTCCTGGTAAGGTCCCACAAGCTTTAAGAAACTTAGCCTGTAGAAAGATTTTATATGATGATGAGATAATGAAAATCCAATTGACAATAATAAACTGAACATAACCCATCTAAAACGTGATGGATGACTTTTAACAAGCCAAAATTGACAAAACAGAAAACTGAGGGTCCAAACTGTGGTCATTATTCGATCAATTTCAGCATCTCCTACCGAAAAGGTTTATAAATTCACTTTGTTGATCTCTATATATTGTTTTTATAGTACGTACTACATTCATGAAGGTTCGTAAAATTTACACTTCACAACTGTCCAAGAAGTCAAGAACAACTAAAAGCTATTTCAACTCAAAATCGATAAATATGTCAGTTTACAGATTCCGCATGTTTGCGATAAAGTTACTTGAACTCAAAATCGATTATATACCCAAAGTCAATCTCAATGTGGAATCAAATATGTGAATATTTACCTAAAATTCAATTAACTAATATTTCAAAATGATTTTGGATCATCCAATTGTGCCATCCATCTTAACATGAATTCACAAGATGAAAATTGAACGTTATTTTACTCAATGCCCTAACTAGTTAAAACAAAAACTACAAAAGGTAAAACACCTAAGAAAAATCATTAAAAAAACCATTTCTGCTGCAGTAATAGTGTTCCTAAACCCTAAACTCTAATAATACCAATTACTAATAGCACTATGAAAATACCTCGTCCTTAAGTCCCTCCAAATCTCCCTGAGACCACACGCCATCATTCCGCGCAGAATCATCTCTCTCTTCTGAAAGGTCAGAACACAAAATTAGCGCAAATAAATAAATAAAATGTAAAAGCAAAAATAAAGAAAAAGGAGTAACAAAGGAAAATACCTTGAAATAATAAAGAAGGCGATCGATTCCGAGATATGAGAACATCCTTGTTTACAGAAAGCGAAATTATAATTATAATCATTACAAGCAAAAAAGTAATTGGTGAGAAGAAGAAAGAGAAATGCGAGAAGTGAAATGTTACGGTGGAACGAGTGGAGGCGGAAATGGAGTGCGATGTGTGGATGCGGCGATTGTCTCTGATCCTTAAACAGGCGAAGAAGCAGCCCATGGCTTTGGTGAAGGATCGGAAGAAGAAGCGAAGCAAGAACCCTAACACGCGCCTCAGCATATCATGGAAGGGATTTTATTCTTCTTCTTTCGGTTTTTCTTTTCTTTGTTTTGTCCCTTCGAATTCAATTGAGAATCACCGTGAACTCTGTTTGCGCAGTGAGGGGTTGCCTCTCTGTCCCTGATGCGTCCAATTTGAATTTTGAAGTCGAGGGAAATTCAAATATTAAATTACTAATTAATTAATTAGATAAAATTTGCTAACTGCTAATGATGCAGTAACGTCTGATTACGCTAATATAACTTTTTTTACCGTGTCATAAAATTTAAATTACTGATAGATGGAAAGGTCTTGAATTTTTGGAGCTTAGGCAGAAAATTTTACAGTTATATTCTAATATATTTCGTAATTGTATTTTTATGCTCCCGTCAGTAGCGAGGACAGAATTTATGACTATGTGGATGAGTTTATGTCGTTTATTTTGCTGATGGATAAGGGTTAGGGTGTGTTTATATAAACGTTGGTCTAAAAATGCCTTGGCTCTGGCTCTGCTTTACTACTACCCTTTTGCCGGTGAAATGGTGACCAATTCCATGGGGGAGCCCGAGGTGTTTTGCAGTAACCGTGGTTTAGATTTTGCTGAAGCTATAGCTAACGTGGAGCTAGAGTGCCTCAACATGTACAACCCAGATGAGACCATTCAACATTCAAGGGAAGCTTGTGCCCAAAAAGCACCACGGCGTTCTCGCTATTCAGGTAACTAACCTCAAATGCGGGGGTTTAGTAGTGGCCTGCACTTGCACTTTCGACCATCGCATACCAGACTCCTACTCTGATACATAATAAATATTTAGCATGTGACTGATATACCAATAACTTCTAATCTTTTTTTCTAATTAACTATCTATTTCTTATTTTATTTTATTTTTGAAAATTAAGAGAGCTACCTCTTTTTCCTACGAGTAACATCTTCAATGTTATGTTTTATTATACTATTTTCAACACGAAATTTGCTAACTAATTTTGTAGATAATTTTAGAAAAAATGTTATATAAATTATATTTTTGGACTTTTTTTTTTTGTTAATTCACAATTTCAGTCTTTCTATTTTAAAATAAAGATATTTAGTCTTTTTTTTAACACAAAAAAATTATATCGTCAATTTAATATTAGTTAATTATTAACTTTTAATATTGTATGTGATTTGTCACTATTTAAGTGACATGATATATTTTTTTTTGATTAATTAATAACGGGGCTTAAAAGCCCAAAATACAAAAATTAATATCCAGGAGGGAAAAGAACTGCAGACTTATCAGCAAGTAAAAGAAAATGTGTTCAACTAGGGGGAGAACTAAAACTATGCACTCCTTCAGGGAGGGAGAATCCTAGCTTGGCAAACCCATCAGCAACTTGATTAGCCTCTCGAAAGACATGAGAACAATCAATCTTGTAGAAGTCACCTGACATTCTGACAATGTGATTTAGCAAGGAGTAGCACGAATGTGACCGAGGACACCCTTCATTTAAAAAGGAGACTGTTGTAGATGAATCAGATTCTATGATTATAGGAGAAGAGATGAATCTATCCTTAATAAGTCTTAAGCCATGATATATGGCCCAAAGTTCTGCATGCGCAACAGAACATCTACCAATTGATCCTGCATAAGCTAATATAAATGATCCATAGCTATCTCTCAAAATCCCTCCACACACGTCAGTCTGTTATTCATTACTGCCCCATCACAGTTGAGTTTTAGAGTACCCGGAAGGGGAGGATTCCAACGTAACATAAGTGGAGGTGAAGAGAGAGGACAAGGATTCAGGGAGCGACCAAAAGACATGTTCTGCACCTCGTTCAGGCGGCCTTTGATTTCACAAACAATCTGAATTGGGTTGATTTGTTTCTGATTGAATATAAAATTATTTCTCGCTTTCCAAATGTAATCCAAAGTTAAACCAAAAGTTTGAACCCATGTGACCTTTGTATATGAGACAAATTCAAACACATCCATTCTGTCAATGGACAGATAAAAAAAATTATGAATTGTGATAAGTGACATGATATTTAATAACATGATATATAAAGATAAAAATTAAAAAAATAACATATAAAAAAATTATTTTTATCTATTTTTATCAATGATTAATATTTATTTTATTAATAAAAAATTTATTTGCATATTTTTTAGTTTTTTTATTTCTAAATGTTGTATTACTAAATATCACATCTCCTAGGTATGACTAAATGTTAAAACTTAATGATTAGTAGATATATATTTTATGAGAAAATAAAATTTCCATATTTTTTCAATTAGAGGACTAAATGTCTCTAATTTAAAATAAAAAAATTAAAATTATAAATTAATAAAAATATATGGAATAAAAGTACAATTTAGCTAAACTATTATTAGGTTTTGTAATGCTTAAAATTTCAATGAATTTGAAATGCTTAAGATTTGTTTTTTTTTATAAAAAAAAAAATCATCATCTATGTATAAAAAAATCCATCGTTTTTTTTAAACATTTTGTTCGGAAAAAAGTAATTTCAATTTCTTAAATTTTAGATAATTAATTTAGATAGAGAGCAGTTTCGTCATTTGCAAAAAAACTTTCAGTTGTATGTTTAAAATTTTGATGTTTCTTATTAAACTTATCAAAATAAAATTCAGCATTAAATTTTGTACCATGGTGTTGATGAGAGTATCTTCTGATTTCTCTTAAGACCTTGGTTGTATTAAGGCTATTGTCTTTTTTTTATCAAATCAAAAATTGAATTTTAGAAAGAAAAATTATAAATTATTTATAACGTTATTGTTTTTTAAGTGACAAATCATATATATATATATATATATATATATATATATATATATATATATATATATATATATATATATATATATATCAAAATAAAATATTTAATATGATAACTAAATTTGTATTAAAAAAATAATTAAAATAATAAGATAAAAATTGGTGTTAAATATATTAAGTAACAAAATTTAAAAATGTTAAAAGTTGAACCAAACTAAATCTTATTGGTTTGTTTTGATTCATATTTCATAATTTATTCAGATCAAACCAAATTGAACCGTACTTAATGTCCTTATTTAGTTTAAATGATTTTTAAGATAAAGATCGAACCATATAACAAATATCTCTAAATATAAATACCCTACTAAATAGACCGTTATTATTTTTACTAAAATAATTATATAAGAATTAATGTTAAATATATTACATGACAAGAATACTTTAGAGTTTGTACGTATATTTTTAGTCTTAGTTTTTACATAAGCAAATAATATAATATTATATATTTTTTATTAATTTTTAAATAATAAATTTTAAAGATCGCAAAAATTGAACTAAATCAAGCTATGAAAGATTGGTTTGATTTGATTTGAATTTCACAATTTATTTAAACCAAATCAAATTAAACCATATTTAATTTTTTTTTATTTAGTTGGGTGACTCTTATGATAAGGATCAAATTAAATCACATGACAAACATCTATAAACATAGATACCCTACTAAATACACCATTCCTACAACATGTGAGTATAAGGTAATCACAACGTCAAATTATCAGTTGATTTTGATTTTTTAATTGATTATCCAATATTTTTTTTAAAATGATCATTTAATATTCAAAATTTTTCATATCAATAAACTAAAATTTAAATACTTTTAAATTTATATTCATTTTATAATTTATATTTATTTGCAAATACTTATAAATATGTACAGTTGTATATTGTTAAGCACATTTTATTCATTTCGGCACTAAAAAAAATTAAAATAACAAATTAAATATGAGACTTATCAACTAATGACCATCCAATTTATTGATTAATTGTTAGTTACATTTAATTAAATTAAAGAATAGCAATTAATAGTCTTAATTGCGTAAAATTAAGTCACAATATTAATTTTAACTCGGGAAATTTACTGCAGACTACCTTTCTCTAATTTTTAACATATTTTAAATGAGTATTAAATAAAAAAGTATTAAAAATGTTTGCAAGAGTCCTAAATTTGAAATTGTTGTTGTGATTGTAATTTTTATAAATAAATAATAAATAATTTATTATTAGAGATCAATCAAAATGGTCAATTATATATTTTAATTGATTATTTGATAAAATATTTTTTATTTTATAGATTGTTTAATTAATATTCAAAATTTTATAATTTATTATCTATTATAATTGTAATAACCTTAAATTTGATATCTCAACAATTCCACTTTGTGACACGATGATGCACCATATACTTTTTTGTTGGTCAAAACTTTTCATTTATTAGAACTCTTCGTGAATGGTCCTCTTTGAGATGGATCAACGAATGATCACACAAATCATTACAAAACTTTTTCAAAGTGTTTCGTCTTCACTCACATTTTTTAAGAAACTTTTTAAAATATCTTTCATCCCAAAATTACTCAAAGCTAAACACGTTTAATTGTGAGATTCTTATATGATGAATTATCAAAAAGAATATGGATCTAGTTGTTATAGACAATATAAATTAATATTTAAAGTTATCATCAACTTTACGATATCATACTTATACAGATCTTATCCATTTCATTTTGATGTATTCAAGTTGTTATAATATTAATTATTTTTCGCCTAATTTTTATAGGGTTTATTTATTGGTATATTTAATTATATTGATAATGAAGATAATTATAAAAAATATATATTTAAATTTAGTTAATCTATTGTATCATTCAAGCAATATACACTATGGATGAGTACTTAAAAATGACATTTTTTATATGTGAGAATGGAAACTATCATTTTCAATCGTCAGATTAAAATAAAAAGCTATCATTAAAACACTTATTAAAATATATCTCGTAATATATCACATGTTAGATTAATTTTTCAAATTTTTCTTATTCACTCACTCTTCCATGCCATCATTGTCACTATTGACAACATTAGTGTTGTCATTGCCACTATCACCACCGCCATCCCTGCAAAACTTGAATTTTTACATTAATAAATATTAAATATACTATTATGTACACACTAATATATACTAAATAATTAATCCATAATTAAAACTAATTTTTTGGAATTTTGTAAATTAAATATTTTGAATGGAAATATCTCTTGTATGTTAATTTTAATTTTAATTTTAATAAACTAAAATTTTTAATTTTAAACTTTTTTTTATTTTTCATATTTTGAATGATGTAAAAATATATATTTTTATTAATATACTACTTCTTTTGTTCCTTTATATAAGAAATAAATGGTAAAAAATATATTTGTCCTAATTATAAAAAAAATATCTACTTTAAGATGTATTAATTATTATTTTTCTTTTATACTTTTATGTAAGTAGATGCGTTTATTGATGCATCAATGATACAAGTTACACTCATTGGTAAAAAAAAAAAAAAAAGGTTATCCTTTCAATTAGGTGTAGTGTTTAAGTTATATTACCACTATTTAAACCAACCATTTTAAAGATTATTTTTTGAAATGAGATTTAATTTTATGATATTATTAATGAAAAGTTACCATCTTAACTTTTTTTTTTTTTTTGGGTAAATAAGTTATTTAATAATATTTTAACTTATGTAGTGCACAAACATATTTATTATATAATTAAAATGTATAATGAATCACATATAAAAATAAAATATTATGGTTGAATATATAAATTATATTTAAAATTTGTATAAATAGATATTTTTAAGCATGTAAATTATTATTTTTTATATTTATGATAAATAATATATATTTTAGTATTTTTTATTTATTGATAATTTATTTTAAAATATTT